AATAAAGATAATCTCAAAATCCTACACATAGGTAATAAAGGGAAGAAAATAAATTTGTTGGAAGCCATGGAAATTAACAAATCAATTAAAAACCAGAAATGTATACCCCTAAATGAGCAACTCGATTTTTGTCAGAATTCCATCGAAGCCGGTAGCATTTTTCTCACCTCGTCTAGAACAGCTGCCAACATCGTAGAACCACGAAACGTGGGCGCGCTGTTAGCCACGTCCCAATTGGTTTATGGTTACCAGTGGCGGCCTGCGTTATTTTCCTTAGGGCATGATTTACAACAGTATCATCGATGATACTTGAAAATACATATGACTCAAATGGTAGTATAAAGGGCAATGGAGGTTCAAAATTTGCTTTGAACACAATGAAGATATGGTGACAGTTTGACCGATGAGCATTGTTCCAATAAATTGTTACTCACTGAATTTCAGAAAAAAACTTGACTTGTTCTAGTTTGCGAAGAAACAACTTGACGTCAAATATTGATATTAATTTCTCTATGAACTAATTGTAGGAATCTTGGAGAAAAATGGTTGTTTCTTTCTCATTCAGTCTGCATCTATTGTAATTCTTTTTCACTTTCATCTTTTTTAGGTAGAACCACCTCTCCCTCAGCAGCCGAAAATTACTGAGGAAATAGAATTCATGGATCTAGACTCTTTCGAGCTCACTATGGAAGAGATAGAACTTGAAGAGGTGGCGCAAGAGGAAAGTTACATAAAGTGGGGAGAAGGCGAAGAAGGTGATGAAGAAGTTTATGCGAAGGTATTCGGAGAAGGAGAAGAAGAATATCGGTATGAAGACGAAGGTCTCAAAGATTGGTTTTATACTGCCACCAAACATTCTCAGTATTCGCTTAAAGAAGAACCGAGCAGAATTTCAGGACAGGTAAGATTTTCTTTAATTTAAGTCATCGGTTCGCCAATATATCGATGAAAGTTTGAAATATAAGTCTTGTTCACCTTAGAGAAGTATCTGAAATGAATGAAAAGTAAAAACTGTCACGCCGTGAAATTGTTAAGAGATATATTTTTAGATAACTAATGGTTAATTCAACTGAATTACATCGAAAAATCGAATTCAGCGATTAGGCCCATTTCTGAATGAATGGATGCATGAACAAAATTATCGAATTTGGGACGATACATGAGATCCAAGAGCGTCCAATGTTTTTTCAAAACGTCACTGTTTGGTGTGGATTTTGGGCTGGCGGCGTCATCGTTCCATATTTCTTTAAGAACGACGTTGGCCACTGTCAACTGTCAACGGCGAGTACTATAGGTCGATGATTACCAACTTTTGCCCTGAACTGGATGATCTGGACACCAACAAAATATGGTTTCAACAGTACGGCGCTACGTACCAAACAGCTCATACCACATTGGACATTCTGCACGAGAGATTCGGGGACATGGTCATATCACGTGGAGGTGATGTGAACTGGCCGAGATCGTGCGATTTGACCCCGTTAGACTTTTTCTTGGGGAGTTTTCTTGAGTCGCAGGTATATGCGAATGAGCCACAAACCGCACTGGGTCTCAAAGCCAACATAACTCATGTCATCTGTAAAAGTCAGACTGATTTATGCACCGGAGTCATGGAAAATTGCACGTTACGGATGCGCTCCACCCAAAGAAGCCGTGGCGGACATTTGAATGTTGTTATATTTCACACATAATGGCATGAATAGGTCCTTCAAACGAATATAAATTTTTGATGATATCTCACACACACTTTGTTTTATTCAAATTCAAAGATAGAAAGCACTTGATGAAACACGCTATAGATGATTTTGCCTATTCACCCAACAAGAAACAGTCACCTAATTGTCGTTTTTTTTTCGATTGTCATAGAAAAATTATTGTATTCGTCTGGAACTGAAGTAGTTGCGTTGCATTCATTTCATTGATATTTATATAATTAAATTCTCTTCAAGGTGAACACCGACATAACGTATTTTCCGATAAAAAGAGAAATTCTTTACCCCACCGACCTGAGAGGAAAACAACAAATGAAATACCGTCTTCAAAAATACAAATTCACTGACGAAGACTGGGAAAATTATATGCCTCCCAGTCCTCCCGATGTAACAAAATCTCAAGAGCTCAAGAAGGATACGAATTTCGTCGATTTACCCGATGATACTCAGATAATCATCGGTTCTAAGAACGTAGCCAATTATGGAAAGGAAGTTGAATTCATAGCACCCTTCGTTTGTATTATGGCTGGGGTAGTTTCAAAAAAGTACTCGATTCTATCTTGGACTCAAGATATTGTTGATTATATATTGAAGTGCGGAAATGAGTTATATGGAACGTCGAAATTCAGATATGATCAGGTAATATGAACAATTAATTTCTCCTGGAATTTATTTCAAGAATTTTAAATATTAAAAAAATAGTTTTCGTTGTGGGATAACTTTTGAAATAGTAAATTTAACAAATATTTCCATTAACGAGCTTCAAAAGGAGTCTTGTATCACTCTACAAGCACTAACAAGCGATAGAATATCATCTGAATTGCTAGGACTACGAAGAGGAGAAATACAGCTCCTGTATCCTACACCACCTAGATGTCGGAGAGACGTATACTTACCCCGGGGTGGATCAACGCCACTCACTAGATGTAACTCACTAAAGAACTATCTCCGCGACAAGTATCATAAACTCTGACATATCTGGTCTGGTCATCATAACTATTGAGGAAGCAAGGAAGTTGCTGTTACAAATGTACTTGCCGTTCCTACCTCACTACTCCTTTGAAGTAGTGAAGTGGAATCGGGAGGAGTTGTATCAATTCGACGTAAAGACCAAAAAAATGCACCTCTACAGGAGTTTGCACCCCAAATCTTCCATTACACGGTTCTACTCACTCCGACAATGGGGATGCCGTGGACTTTTGAGTTTGGAGAGAATACATGAACATTTTTTCTTAGGGCCTCTGCCCTAGCGGTTAAATCAGGTGGAGTTTTCAACTCCAGGTGAGAAAATAATCGTGCGAAAAGTGTAAGAAAAACTAATGAAATATCGATACCTTCTCTTCTAGCTCCGCACACCTCAGCCAGAAAATGTTGTTTTGATTGTTGAAATCATTGATGGAATGATGCTCGTTTACTCTCGAATATCAAGGCCATGCCTGCTTGTCGCAATGAGGCAGATATCTGTGGGTACAAAAGCAGAAGGCTCATTGGTTCATCGCATCTGTTTGGGGCAAATGATTTTTGGACCCAACAGCCACTTTTCACACGTTGTAGGGATTATATGCCATTATTGTTTATTACGCCTACGTATGGTACGTGATTCTTGGACCCATTGATCTACCTCACTGCGTGGAGAGAGCTTCAGAGATAGCGTCCTAAAAACGTTGCATTTTAGGAGCTGTATGTATCAACTCGACGCAAAAAATATTACTGGAGTTTTTTTCCCAAAACCAAATCGTTATTTTTAACACCTCGACATGTATTTCGATCACCAAGTGATCATCTTCAAAGAGGAAGATTAAACTGCAAAAACCCTAAAAACGAAGCATCTCTTTAAGATTCTGCATCCCACGTCTGTTTCAGTTTGTCGTCGCTCGTCAACAGGGAGGCCGTATACTTTTGAGTTTGAAGTGTCTACATGACAAAATGGTACTGGATGGACCCCTATCAAGAGTTTGGACCGCCTTCTTTGCATGATCCGCGACCATAAAAGAGCAAAGATGGAAGCATTTCTCTTTAGGGCAGCTGCCCTAGCGGTTGATGAACTCGATCTGTTTTTTGAAACTGAACTAGAGAACCATAACTCTGTCACCAACAAAATGCCCACATAATAGCCGCAGAGATCACATACTAAAATAATAAAGATGAAATTAAAAGGGTATATTTTTAGGAGAGATAATTTTTTAAGAAAAAAAGGTTTTGGCTCCCTACTTCTCCATCTTGATATAAAAGAAATCTGTAAATCTTCCGAAAAAAGAAAGGAAGCAATCAATTCCGATAACCAACTTCATACACAGACACAAACTAGAAAAAGCCCTCTCGAAACAGCTATTTTCATATAAACATTGAATTACACGTAATGGAATTGAATCAGAGATCACTCACAGAATTCCTGCAAAAAATAATAAATAAAAGAAGTAAAATTCCACTCACAAGGAACACTCATTCTTACTGGTAGACATCCGATTTTTCGCCGTAAGACACTTGCCTTATCGGCTCTTCAGTACCAAATATAATGTTATCTGTATTTGGATGTCTACCAGTGAGGATGACAGACAGTATTTCATGTAAGTGAAATTTCACTTCTTCCATTTATCAAATTGTGTAGAAATCCTGTGAATGATATATGATTCGATTCCATTCCGAATGTTTGGAATACAAACGGAATAGAGAAAAGTGTTTTTTCGTATAATTTAGCGTACAGTATTTGTTTCTAAAGTATTTTTCTTTCATGTGATAATTTTTATATGAAAATATCTGTTTCGAGAGGACTTTTTCTTCCAGTTTATGCCTGAAAATTATTTCTTTGGATGACCCACACATCTTTTGTCAGAAATTGATTGCTTCCTTCCTTTCTTTGGAAGATTCCCAATTTTTTTATGTCAAGATGGAGAAAGCCAAAACCTTTCTCTCCTAAGAATTATTGATATTTTTTAATAAGTGTTGAATGTCAATTCTATCACACTCAGATCCTCATCCTTCTTTTTCATTCATTGATTTTGTAAATTGGATGTAATACATATTACTGAACATTGGAATACTTCTTGTTTAGTATTTTCATTTCGAAAAGCCATTTGGAACTGTATTATAAATCTCATTTTCTGTATTTCTCAACCTATTTATTTATTAATAACTGCGAATTTCTTATCATCGCAAACCTGAATAATTCGATCTATTTATTTATTTGACTGTGCATCTGATATTTAAAATGAACTTACAGGTCTCCACCCTGGAAATACCAAGAATAACACTGGGTACCAATAGTTTCCGGGTTCTTGTCCAATATATTTTTGACAGTTATACAAGACAGAATATATTGGAACTGGCTCTGAATAAAATACTTTTCGTAAGATCGGATATAGGTGTAATAGTGACACCCCTTTATGCATGTGCTGTTTTTTTGAAGAACCATCTCTACTACATGTATGATTGTTTCGGAAACAATGAAGTTGGACTCAGTGAAGGTGAGTGAAAACTCTAAAATCAATTGACCTTTTTGATTGTGATAGCGAACTGTATTGTTTCTTATCTTTTTTGAAACATGGTAGTCTGAGTTTATTTAACCCATTAGCGTCCAGATTAAAAAAAATTCATAATCATCTTAAATTTTACTAGATATTTTATCGAGTGTGTATGATACAAATAAAAAATGTAACAAATAGTGGAGTGTTATGTCCACTATTTGTTACATTTTTTATTTGTATCATACACACTCGATAAAATATCTCTCTGTATTTATATCCTGGACCCGGATGTCATAGGTGAGTGTAGACCCACAGCACTTAGGCCACATGTGACCCATTGAACATCTTCCCGAGGAGTTGTCCTTCTAAGTCATCGTCCATCCTGTTCGACTTCTCTCCTGAAATGCAACATGGTGCAGCCATTATTATTTTTTCTAATGAGGACCCAAACATTATGCATTGATACATCTAAGAGCCATGTGAAAATTGTCCAATACCACTTTTTTCATCTAATTCCTATTCTATAGTTATCTACGCCATGATTAATCAGATAAGTGCCCCCTATATTCTTGTTATACATTGCTATTATACATTGTGGGTGGTTGACGAGAATGTGGCGTTATTATTTTTTGATGTCATGGTAACAACAGCATTATTCATCCAACGTACAAGCAGAACGCTACTGTTTCTTTCCAGAACATATACCATGTGGCCTCTGGAACAAAAGTGCTTCTTGTCCATCAGTGTACAAGAATTTGGAAAGCGATTTTCCCTTTTGGTTCCAATTGCACCATAGCCTATAAATCGCAAATAACTGAATAAGTTCAATCCGGTGAATAAATTATACACATGTATTATGTAATATAACTTACGCTGTGGTAGTTCTTTGAACATTGGAATAAGTGGGGCTGCCGCTTTACCAAATAGAGTATCGTACATTTGTTTTCTTCGAGGACTCTTACCTTGGTATATATCGATATTTACTAAATATCCCTTTCGATTACGGCACAACATTTTATACCCGAATCATATTAGTTTCTTGCGGATAAATTGTTTACAACCATCGCGACCGAAATATTTGATCATAGATTTGTTGTATGATAAATTTTTGCAGGTTACAAAATTTTCCAGAAACTTTTGCTTCAGATGATTCATTATAGGTCGTATTTTCCAAGCAGTATCTCCTTCTATTATTTTGGAATTATCTGCACCATGTGAGAACTTCTGTATTTGTAGAAATCAGTTCCTTCGCATTGTGTTACTAACCATTTGACTTTTCACGTCATCTTTGATATCCCAATTCATCCTTTTTGAAGGTACTTCATTATATCCAAACGATTCCGAAAAAGTAGCGCAATTTTTCTTGGATCTTTTGGATCCTGTTGGTTGATGAACTGAGCGTTACGTTGACTCTCTCCAATAAGATAATTGATAAGTCCATTCTCAAAAAATAATTCGAAAATTTCACAATATGAAAAGTTTGCATATTTAGTGAAATCAATTTCTGGAAATTGGCGTGGCCCTCCTACTACGTCATCCTTCATCCAAACTGGAGGTTCCTTAGTTTTTATATTGTCGTCATGAAAATATTCATGAATCCAGTTGTTCAGTGATGTTGTATTCTCGGAATCCCCCTCAGGATCTTGATCCATCTGTATCACCTCCAAATCTTGTATTATTCTGAAGCTTTCATGCCAAGTTGACGCCTTGAAATTTTATGCATTATTTTACAGTTATCTGACATGTATTGGAATTATGTATAAATTGATATATTGTATATCATTCCACACCTATCCTCATCTCCAGAATCTTCATTGGTATCTACATTTACATCAGGCGGTGTTATTAAGATATCTGCCACTTGTCCTGCCATAGTTTATGTCTCATGTAAATGTAAATAGAGTTTATTTCGTACCTTAGATGCTTTCTTCCTTCATTTGGAAGTTTTCCACAATTTTCTGTATGAATATCAAGAAGTAGAAAACCGAAAAAAATATCCTTAAAGCAAATCCCTCCTAAAAATATATCCCTTTGAATTCAAAAGAGAATATATGCCTTAACGACCGGAGTCACGATTAGAGATGAATCTGAGCTGGTAGGCCGTAGTCGAAAGGAACTTGCAGTACCAAACGTTTCGTTGCCTACTGCTGCAAACATCCTCAGTGGTATTATGCGATTACTGCGGGTACGAACGTTATATTTCGAAGTCTCAGTAACGACTGACTGATTGACAGTCACGTTTGGTAATAGAAGTTCGACGAGTGCCTACCATCCCGGATTTTATTCTCTCTTATTTTAGATCATGTTCAATCTTTCTGTTTAAAGGTTGAGACTTCAAACAATTATTCATTTCATACCAATGTGATTCTAACAAACTCCTCTCTATTTTATAGACGGTTACGTGCAATCATCCTGAATTGTCCATTAACGTTATCTGCAGAATATTATGTGATATTGACCATCATCATTGAAATTTCTTTTATATCAAGTTGTATGATACGAATCAATTGATTTTATTATTATTACTAACCCTCGAAAGTGATCCTTCTCAATTCAAAATTGAAATCACTATGAAATTTCAGAGGTATACAATATTGATAATAGTACAATCATTTTCAATAAGCGATATTTTGCCGAATGTTATATTGGTGAAATTTTTCAAATTATTCGGCAAAATATTATTGTAGTTTGAAACCAATTCAATAAATTTATTATTTTCCGGTATTTTATGTATTATCCCAAACCCTCAAATTTTTTGAATACTTTCAATGATAATGCTGATCTTTGTTTGTTTCGAAATCAAATTTGAATGTTTCAGTTGGTTGTTTATCAGATGAATAAAAGTGCAACGGATAACCGACAGACATCGCGCTGTATCCTATGGAACCAACCGCTGTATCCTATGGTGTGACAACCAAGTCAACTTGCCAAGTTTTTATGTCAGCTATATACATACAGTGCATTCCATTTAAAATGAGCCACCCTGAAGAACTTTTGTTGCAATGATTTGCAGGAAAAATAAAAAAGATAACCATAGTATACAGGGGAACACATTTTGACATATTCACATTTGATCTAACTTTCCCTATCGCACCCCCAGAGTATGTCACCAATTTTCTTATGGATCAATTGTTTTGCATTATAAGATATTCCTTGATAAACAGATTTCAACAAAGTAGAATACATTATGGTCTGAAGCTCATAGTTTGGAAGCTAAAAATTATTTGAGTTGAAAACGAGCCACCCTGAATGAACAGTATAATCTGTTACCTAGGTTTCATAGGTGTTTTTGTGAAGTATACTTCAAAAAAGTCATATTTTGCCTAGTTAAGTTTGAATTCGATATTCTCTTCATTTTGTATTTGTCTCATTCTACAATAACGACTACCTACCTGGTGAAGTTACAATTGGTGTTTCTGTTTTTGTGAATTCATGAGAAGCAATGATCTATATGCTTAGAGAACGGATTGAAATAGTGAGTTTGTACTACCAGAATGGAAATAATGCTAGAGCTGCTGCCCGTATGTGCAATGATATAATCATCCGGGAAGAAATGTACGACACATACACGTTTCGGAAATATTGAAACGTACGACACAAACACGTTTTGTAATTATTGAACAAGTCTATGGAAACTGGATCTTTTAACAATCTGTTTAAATCATCCATATGAGATTAAACTAGTTCATGAATTGAACGAAGATGATTTCTATAGACGTATCGAGTTTTGTCAGAATTTCTTGTTTAGTTTGAATGGAGAGGTGAATCGGTAAAATTGTTGATCTTAGAGTGATACGAATCATCATTTATACCGTCAAGTTCATACCCAACGACCTTAGGGCAGGAATTTTAGGTGACCACATCACAGGACCTTTTATTATAGATGATAATTTGACTAGTGATGAATATTTGGGTATGTTGAAGAATTGAATAATACCGTGCATCAATAGGGCAATTAAGACTGATATAAATTTATCCGAAAACGAAATATTTTCTCAGCAGGATGATGCACCTCCTAATTATGCAGCTCCAGTGCGACAATTTTTGGATGATCATTTTCCTGGTCGCTTGATTGGCAGAAGAGGTCCTACAGAATGGCCACCAAGGTCTCCGGATATCTCTCCTGTAGACTTCTTTTTATGTGATCATTTGAAGTCGCAAGTGTATGAGATATAATGAACAACATTAAAAGATTTGAGAGAGAATATCATGAGGCATTGCAGAGAAATAACTTCCGATATTCTCAACCTTGTGAGGGCGGCAATGGACGCTTGTTTGTACTATTGTATGGAAGTTGGAAATGTTTTTGAACATTTACTATAGAATTTTTTTCTTCTCATTGTCCACTCATCAGATTTCGATTCAGGAATTAATTGTTGACCTGTTTTTTTATTTTTCCTACAAGTCATTTTTTCAAAAGTTATTCAGGGTGGCTCGTTTTCAACTCAAATAACTTGTAGCTCCCGAACCATAAGCTTCAGACCATATGTTTTACACTCTGTTGAAATCTGCTCATCATGGAGCATCTGATAATGCGAAACAATATAGGGTGGTCCATTTCAAAAAATTTGGTGACATGCTCTGAGGGTGCGATAGAGGAAGTAACATCAAATGTAAATATACCAAAATGTGTCCCACTGTATACTATTGTTGACGTGTTTTTTATTTTTCCTGAAAATCATTGTACCAAAAGTTATTCAGGGTGGCTCGTCTTAAATGAAATGCACTGTATTTATACCCTTTATACATATACACATACATACATAAAGACATACATTTACAGTGCGGTCCATATGTATGGAATAAATTCATTTTTAGCGTTATTATGTACTATGTGAAAAAAACCTGAAATAGGTCGATTTTTATTCTTAAATTGTCAATTTACAGTATGAAAATATTATCCCCCTCCTGCACCCCTTCTGAATTATAAGCACCCCCTCGAAAATTTAAAATAGCAAAGGGGGTCGTGTGGCAACTTGTTGAAAAGGGATTTTAGTCCAGCAATTCAAAGTTTTTTGAGTTTGGTGCAATCATAACTGAGAAAATTGATTTTTAGGATGTAACATTTTGATTGGGTATTTATTATTAAAAATTTAACAAACCTCCTTTTGATTTCCTTTTTTATCACCACAACCAATCATAATTAAAATGTCTATTCTTTGAGTCTCCGACAAATGAGCCATAATCAAATTCAATACGCCCTCAAATATTATACTGGAAATATTAGTAACTTTCAATACCTAAATGACAGCAGCCTACTAGATTCATATCAATTGTTTATTTGGCGTTTTGTCTAATATTTTAGTATCTTCAAAGATTTTTTCCAGGATTCAAGGAGCGTGTTACAGGAGCGTGTTAGTAAGGAGCGTGTTACAGGGATGGTCTATTTAATAGATCAGGTTATTGTCAAGAAGTGAATAATGGTGGTCATTTTGAACATTTAATATAATTGTAAAAATTAATTTTCTCAGTTATGATTGCACCAAATCCAAAAAACTTTATATCGCTGAATAGAGGACTTAAACCCCTTTCCAACAAGGTGCCACACGACCCCCATTGCTATTTAAAATTTTTGAGGAGGTGCTTATAATTCAGAAGGGGTGCTGGAAGGGGATAATATTTTCATACTGTAAATTGTCAATTTAGGAAAAAAAATCGACCTGTTTCAGGTTTTTTCCACAAATTACATGATAACGCTAAAAATGAATTAATTCCATACATATGGACCGCACTGTATACAGTTTCAAGGCAATGAATAGTTTTTCAAGTCAATAAGTTTTTGTTTACGAATATTTTTGGAAATAGTTGGTTGTAAAAGTTGTTACCTTTATAATAAATCGAAGTTTGACGATATTTTTTTGGTATTTTCAAGTTGATTTTAATCTTCTTGGAGGCTTCAACTTGAAAGCACACATCATGATTTCATTTTGAAGTTTTTTAATTGGTTTCAATAAGGAATTTGTTGCCATTTCCTATACTGGTATTAGATATTGAATCTTAGAATAATACTAATGGAAAATTAAGCAATTTGAAGTATTTGAATAGTATGAAATTTCAATAAATTGATGGATCTAGCGTTACTACGTGGTAGTAACGCAGTAATTTTAGTTACAAATAAAAGTGGTAAGAAACATAGTATAAAATATCTCATTTTGAATGAAATTCCAAGTATGGGCGCTATTTTCCTTCTTATTGTTGTTATTCACATGATGAATTCTCATCTAGAATGACATTAACAAATGTCGTACTAGGAGACTACTCAATATTTTTATTTTATCTAGTATTTCCTACATTCTTACTGAAACTACTACAATTAAAACACAGTGTGCTGTAACTGTCATTAACCGATTTCCAACCAATTTTTTGTTCCCCGTAAATGATTATATTTCGTTATTAGCTGATTTTTTCATTCATTTGGGTGCGTATATTGCAATCTAGATATTATTCATAAATTCCAAGCCGAATAGAAACTAACGAAGAATATTTTCATAGGTACCAGTAATGAAGGTACGGCTTACTTTGCCAGATTCAAAGATCTGCACTCCTTGGTAACTCGGATAATGATCAACAAAAGAAGGAGGGAGAGATCAGAGGAAGTAGTATATAGTCGCTTCGTACTCAGTTCTGTAAAAGTTAAAGAAATTCATGACTGGAATGAGATGATGAAACAGAGGAAAACAGCTAGAAAAGATAAAAAGAAACCGGCTACTCACAAACCACTTTCCGACGTTGAAGCAGAAAATGCAGAAGATGGCGAAGTTGACGAACCTGAAAGAGATCTGGAAGATACAGATGCCGAAGAAGATGGTGAAGAGGAACCTAAGAAACATAAGAAAACTGTTGAAAATGAAGTCGGGTTAGTAAACATGTTTTTGAACTTTCATCGTGCAAAAAAACTTTTTTTCGTACATTGGTACATTTTAAATAGTTCATTGAAATTCAAACCATTATTTATAAATCCCAAAAAATTATTTTCCACTATTCCTAACCCCACAATGACACTACTTCAACTGTAATGTCCGCCATAACGTCCTATATGGATAGAAATAAAAAATAATTATAAAAACACAATAGTGTTTTTATAAATTGTATATTGTAAATATACAATAAATAAATTCTGTTCCACAGCTTTGGCTTCCTCACGAATCGAATTATCATTGAATACACATTCTCACATCGATTGTTTAATGTAATTTTGACTGTACTGAAATGCGTAGAAAACGTGGTGTAATCAACTAACCCCCTTCTGAATGTAAAATATTTTATCAGAAAACTCGAGCTACGGCACTTTTGATGAGGAGATTCAATGAATTACAGCATTTCATTCATAGAGCGCACATCAAATGACAATGCTTGATAATGGTAGGTATGCCATGAAATTTCAAAATTATACTTGAGAATAACTATATGTTGTTTTTTTTTGTTGGAAGATGGATCGCGTTCAGCCTATTCCCAAACAGGGCAAGAAATATATTCCAAATAACTATATACCATTCGCTTTGCTATCAGTGAGATCAAAAATCACGGAGAAAGTCGTAAACCACCATATCCTCAAATATACTCGAATATTTGGAAGGCTTCAACATCTTGAGCGATCATCAATATGGCTTTCGGTAACAAAGATCAACAGGCGACCTTCTATCGTATGTCACCCATATTTGGAATAACAAAATCGAGAAACATGGAGAATCAAGAGCTATTGGGCTTGATATTTCTAAGGCCTTTGACCGTGTGTTGCATGAGGGTTTGCTGGCCAAACTTCGATGCCACGGCCTGTCGGATCATGTTTGTGCATGGCTGTTCAGATTCCTGAAAGAACATTCCTTGCAAGTGGCCGTCGATGGATATCTCTCGAATACTTTCACCATCAACGCTGGTGTTCTCCAAGGAGACGAGTGTGCTGACGACAGCACACTTGTCTCGTCATTCCAGGACATCAGCTACGGAGGCACATCTTCAACGGCCAAAGGAATTTGCACATCTTAATGAGGATCTCAGAAGTTATTCTGAACTGGGATGAAAAGTACCAATTTCAATTCATTGCCACAGAAACTCTGGCATCGGTTTTCTCCAAGAAGATAAATGTCTCCGAACCAGATATAAGCCCTATCAGGCTAGCAAGGCGAATCTAGCAAAATTGCAAAAAAAATATATATCAATTTGTAGCTAATTAGTTGCTGATTAGTTGCCAAAACAACGATTTTGTTGCTCGTGCCGATCCCTAGAAATCGCAAATAATGCTATCGTGATATCAAGGTAGCAAGGTGACTTAATAAATTATATACTTTACCTTTGATCTTTACAGAATATTTATTTGAAAATGTTTCTCTATATCCAAGGTTCAGCAATTGAATAGCAACTAAATATTCTGTAAAGATCAAAGGGAAAGTATATAATTTATTGAGTTACCTTGCTACCTTGATATCACGATAGCATTATTTGCGATTTCTAAGGATAGGCACGAGCAACAAAATCGTTGTTTCAGCAACTAATTAGCAACTAATTAGCTACGAATTGATGTATTTTTCTTTGCAATTTTGCTGGATTCGCCTTGTTAGCATGATAGGGCTGCGTATATAATAATGTAAGATCAGACAATTAGCTTTCTGCTTCGAAAAGTTTGTTGAGGGTTAAAATGTCTTGGCACCGGAATGGTAGTTGGAATTGCAAAGGATGCTTCTCAAAACTTTGAATACTGTTCCAAACCAGAAAACTGTACACACCTCAACAACTTTTGATCCTTCATAAAGCTCAGATCAGACCTTCTTTGGAGTATTGTTCTCATGTACGGAGCTCTGCCCCTAAACATACCCTGAAGTTGCTGGATTCCATCCAGAAAAGAGCCATCCGTCTGGTTGGAGACGCGAACATCACGTGCATCCTTGATAACCTGGAACATCGAAGAAAGGCTGAGGATTTGTCTCTCTTTTACAGATACTTCCACGGGAAGTGTTCGAGTGACTTGGTACATTTGATTCCACCAAGAGCGGCACATATCATAAATACGGACTGTGGATCGTTTCGAGGTTCAACTCAGTAGACCTCGAACTTCACTGTTTAAAAACTCTTTCATCTGGAGAACTGCGTTTATGTGGAATTAACTTCCTGAGAACGTTTTTCCAAATAGATTTAATCTCCAAAGAATCACCACTTTCGCACAAGCATCACTCTGAGACCCCCTTAATGGTTTTCCTGTAGTGCTTGTGTTTTGTCCTTAAAATAATTATATGATGATCTATAAGGTAAAAATCGGAAAAAATATTTGTAATTTTAAGGATTGGTGCCTATGTGTGACATGTAGTAATAATATACAGTATGTCCCAGCTAAAACTTGTCACCCCCTAATCTGCCAGCTCGTGAAAAAATTAAAAATCTCTCAGATCCGTCGATTTTCATTTCAAGGGGAACACCAAATTCATCATCGTTGTGTTGTCAACCTCTTCATCCCCAGCACCCCCTACTTCAGAATTTTCAATGGGACTACTATACTTGTGATACATCATTTTGAAGAAAATTCAATCCCAAATACATGGGTGTACTTGAATTGAGGATCGAACAAGTTTTGTTGAAGTTTTAATGAAAACTAAGTTTTATCAAGATATTTTTATTTTTCATCACCATCGTTAGAAAGGTTCACTATGGGTACGCCACTGTTTCGAAAAAAAAATCTTTCAGAAATAATATTTTAGGAGGTGAGACAGACGTTTTCATTAAAAAAAATTGTCGCCATGTGTTTTTGTAGACACATATCTGTGTTTAAGCCATCGTATATAGATTTATTCGATTCTCTTAATTCAACAATTCGAAAGCTTTCGAAAATGATTTATACTATATAAGAAAGAATATCTATTGTAGTTTTGAAAACGGACGATGTGCTAGAGCTACGGCTCGAATTTTCAATGAAATTCATCCAGAAAAAAACATATCATATCAGTACGTGCCTCAATTGATGAATAAGTTCATGTAGTCGGGATCAGTGCTAAATAAAAAACGTGAACGAGAGAAGCCTTTGAGAAATGAAGGGGTCGCTGTTGCAGTAAGATAACTTAAGACTATTTCTGGAGTTTCTAAAAGCAGCGTACATCGAACTCTAAAATGCAGAATGTATAAGAGTTTAATGAAGATTATCCCGACAGACTGACAGAGTTTTGTGAAATCATGAGTTGTAATTGATCGGTGATAATAATCACCTCTACAATGTATGACGAATTTTCTTTTTATTTAAATGTCAACAGGCACAACTGCTGATACTGAAGTGACGTAAGTCCCCATTGGTACAGGGTTTCTCATTCTCAAAGTCCCCTGAAATTGAATGTTTGGGTTGGTATTCTGGGAGACCATATTGTAGGTCCATATTTTATTCATGGTAACCTCAACGAACAAATGTATCTTGAACTTCCTGATACATCTGCGAACACCAGAATTACTCAGTTACTTGAAGACGATGATAGTCTACTTGAAGGAGATCTACGCAGGAGAATTGTTGTGGAGTGTCGTGCAGTTCACATTTTGAACCTTCCATATGATGATTACATTTTTGGTGATGAAAAATATCTTGATAAAAAACTTAGTTTTCTTTACAACTTCAACAAGACTTGATCGATCCTCAATTTCAGTCGGTACACCGGTGTACTTGGAATTGAATTCCCATTGAAAATTCGGAAGAAGGGGGTAACGGGGATGAGGGGGTTGACAACACAATGATGATGTATTTGGTGAAAGTTTTCCCCCTTGAAATAAAAATCGACGGGTCTCAGCGATTTTCAATTTTTTTCACGAGTTCGCAGAATAGGGGATGACAAGTTTTAGCTGGGACACACTGTATAGTAATGTCATGTAATTCATTATTTTCCAACTTGTGATTTTTTTATTGATGGTTGTCCTTAGTCTTCATTCTCAAATCTGGAAATGGTAGTATAAATGCATTACAGATTTCGTTCAAAATAAACTCAAATTGTTCACGTCGATAATGATACGTTTCTTATGTTGTCTCTAATAGAAGTTTATGACAGATTCACTAACTTACTTACTTCACTGGTTCGCTCAATAAGCATTATTAGAAAAAACATATTGCTTCTTCCTTTACCCTTTCAAATTTTCTATTTCGAAACATGATGCAAGAGATCATTATAATGTCTGTTTGAAAATCTGTCTTTCCGTTAACCAGCTGTCCCTCCCCTACGAACGACAACCCTCAGAAGTCGAAACTTGTGTTTCGAAACTTGTGTCGAAACACGTGTGATTCCTAACACGTGTTGGAGGATAGCAAGTGAAAATGGATCGTTCAGACTAGGACTTGAACTACCGACCAACACGGCAGTCAATTCGATTGGATATTGGATAATTTTGTTTAATTCGGCCGCTGCGCTGTATATAATTGTGGTTTTTTAAAACTAGCTTTAATGTTGCATTCAGCGCAGAGCTTCTAATTTCTTCATCTTAGACGCCAGACAGAAATCAATTCTTGCGCCACTTCATGTATCGACATGTGTATAAATTTGGATTATTTTATATTATTCAAAGAGCGAAAAATGTGGTTATAATCGTGAGCCGAAGGCGAGCGTCGGAAATCATCTGAGTTAGTGAATGATATTTTTCATGAATACCATACTTTTTATATGACTTATATACACTCAAAATGAAGTATATATTTCAAAATGAGGTTCATTTGTGAAGGATATCCGGAATGAGAGGAATATCATTAAATTTTATAACAAATGGCAACCTGAAAAAGCATTCAAAACTATTTCCTGTTTTCGAATAGTATGAAAATTAATTATTCGAAAAAAATTAAATAAAAATCAGTCTTCAGTGGGATTTGAACCCAGGAACTCGGGATACAAGTCCCGTGTTTTAAATCGGTATGTCATAAAACTATTTGAGTTTCAGTTTACTCTCATGTTGTCATCAGGTGATCATTTAAATTGATTACTAGAATTTTTAATGACTGATTCTTCGTGGACGAATGATAAAAAAGTACTCAACAAAATATAATTTACTGGCCTAGGCTGATCGCTTAGACCACAAAACTTATGCTCGTCATAAACGGCCTTATGTCGTTTTTAACTATTCTTAAACATCTTCTTCTTTCTTTTCAAGTTACAAATATAGAAGAGGGTTCCATACTATAGAAGGAACCACGGCAATCGGAGGTCGAAAAGTATTATCAGATGAATTGAAAGAAGATCACTTCATTTGTATTTGTGCTTGTTTGATGTTATTAACCTGTCCTGTAGCACGATGGGATACCAAAAAAGTGGATCAAGTTTTGAGAAACGGACAACACGTGTATTCCCACGCTGAAGATTTGGAGATATCGGAAAAAAGGACTATAAAAAATATTTTGGTTGGAAAAAATTTCTTCGATATCATTGTGAAGATGATCAAGATAGAGAACTGGAGAAATAACAGGAATTTGAATAAAGGTTTGTAATAGATACGGTATGTATATCAGCTATCTACTCAAGAGATCAATCATTTTTGGAAAACCTAATTTCGTGATTTCTCTCAAATAATCAACTTTTTTCATTTGTGGTACCTCTTACCCTTTACTCGTTCCAATTTCAGTGAAACTGATCTGTTATATTTATGGAAGCAGTTTTCATATTTCTGGAAACAATGTTTTTTACTTTGAAATCGTCATTTATCAAGAGATACGAACTAGTCTCGATGCGTACTTCAATTGTTATGACTACTACTAAACCTTTTCACTCTCTTGGAGCTAGAAGAGAAGTCAAATTCGAAACTTGTTCAAATATCAGCCCAGCATTTCTGCAATATCTCTTGCTTTTCATAACCTGCTGCTGACTCCATTTAAAAAGTGATAATCAGGATAAAAACGTCACCTAAACTATATCCATCCAACAAACAAAGCAACCCAAACAACTATAGATGCGTGATCAAAGCATGATCACCACATACATTTGCATCTATTGTGTTAAATAAACATGCCTCTTTACGTTGGCCAATCAGATTTATCTGCAATCGGCAGTTTGAATTCATTGTTTCAGGTATATCACTACAGTGTCGGATTGGTCAGTTACGTCTTAACGCCTGTGGTGTGTACACATACGGTATTTCAAAGTTTAAAAATTTTTAAATGTCAAGTACTGATATGGCTAAAAAAACTGGGAATTTGTGTTTCTACACTCCACCTTAAAAAAAACAAAAAACTGCACCTGAATATTACTGAAAAAAATGGAATTATAAACATTTACAAAAATCAAGTTGAAGCAAATCCTTTATTGTTCGATCGTGCGAAAAGTAGGAAGCATTGCTGGAGTGTCTTCTTCAAATGAGAGAATATAAAGAAAAGCATTCTTTTTCGGCTACGAGACCATATTCCTCACGAAATAAAATCATTGTTAAGGTAGGCGATTTTTATTTAAAGGCTATTAGAATGAAAGAACATCATTTTTTTTCGAAACGAAATAGCAATAGATTCACATCTAAAGGTTCTGAACGATGATCCTGATCTACTATAGAAATGAAAATGTTAAGATAAGATCATCAAATGGATGATTCAGTTGACAGGAACCCGTTGATAATTAATTAATATTAATGATGAATCTTCTGGAACAATTTTTCAGAATCTGAGGAGTCGGTCTGAAATGACAAAAGAATTTATTATTTTATTATTTTTTCAATGTATACGCTAAAACGTCATTTCGAAATTAAATACTCTTTACTCGTTTGTCCTGCTAAAATGAAATGACACTTTTTTTTCAATTCATTCAATATTAAGTACACAAAATTGTTTTTGTTTCCTTCATTAGTTAAACTTTGAATACTTTTCCTATATCCAGCCGCATATTATTAAAACAAAAATCGCTCTTTCCTTAGTGCGACTCTGTACAAGCAGCCTTGTCTGAGAAGCCTTGTCATCTGGAGCACTCCGTTGCTCCAGATGGACAAGCAATCTTATCACGTCGTTGTATCACGGTCCTACAAAGAGATGACCTCAGCAGTCACAATAGAAATGTTTTAGTACGGTATAATATTTCGAGTCCTATTGAGTGGTCAGAGTTTATAGAATTGTATGAATTCCTAAATTTCCCTGGATTAGCGAAAGGTAAACTCCACCAGTATAAATAAAGACAATTTATAATTATTATATACTTGAGATTTTCATTTGGATTATTTTGCCCTACTGTACTGTACTGCATAAATTCGCCTTCAATTACTGCTGTCATCAGTGGCATCTTTCTTCTATTATTCGTGTTGTTCACAGCATTATCTAACCTAATTAAATGTAGGTATTCCTTTTTCTGACGTGGAAATATCAAATGCTTCCTTTAATTTTTCTTTCTTCATGAATTTTACAAATACTACTACCTTTTATTTTTACAGGTATCGACACACTCATCGGTAAAAAATTGTCCTACTTCCTAGTTCAGTTTCCCAATGCTTGTTATGTAGTGCATAAGACTCAGAATGAAATCTTCCACTTGTTCGACCCATATGGTGTACAAAGAAGTGCAAAGGCAGGTTGGGTGCGTTGCAAGAGCCTCAAACAGTTGAAATTTCGATTGAAAAAACTCATTATATCTGGTGGAGAATCGTATCGATTTTATAACTTTGAAGTAACTTCTATTCAGAAAGCACCGAAGGAGGTTTTGTTGAGTTACAGGTTGCAACAGTATGATACTGAAATGGTTCCGAAGAAAGAATACTTAGGTAACTAAAAATTTTAAAGATTACAACCACTAGTGCTCCTTCTAGAATGTTACAACAGTTTCCAAATAACTATATAAATAACATGAAAGAAACATGAATATATAAGGTATATTCAGGAATGAAAATTGTTGAAAACTTTCTAAGAAACAAAGAAAAATCTAAGTAAAATAAAAACTTTCCATAAAGATATGTAGATCATATGAACTTTTTTCCAGATACAAACTGAAAGAAAGAACCCTGTAGAAACAACATGAACATTCACTTACACGAAAATCACTTCCCAGCAAACACGCTTGTTACATTTACGTTAATATGACATGAAATTAAGGAAACATCTATGTAAATACTCCGTTATATTTCTAAGATACTTTAAGCCATATTTACATAAATAGTTTATGTAAATATGTCGTAGCTATTACATAAAAACTAACATCAATGTTATATCGTGAGTAGGACGATCTCACCGGTATCAGATTACCAAGATAACGACTGATAACGACTTATAAGACTTTGAGTCAGCAGAGTCAGCAGAACGTGATACTTTTGTCCCCCAATACCTAGACCTTATTGAATTGCAAGCATATCAGACAAATGAGTAGTATGTGTTTTAAATATTCCCCTCGTAGAGCCTGAAACGTACACACTTTGTCATTTATATCCAATACCAATCTTGGATGCTCGAACAGGACTTCACCATATAAACAGTGAATATAACATCAATATGGTATATTATTATTCACTTAACTCCTACGTAGTTACTTCAATATTACGTTTCTGTTTTTAGGTTGGTAACATCCAGACGAGTTATGTTGGTCTGTGTGAGAGGAAAAGGCCAGAGTTTTTGAGACATTCTTATCACGCTATAAGTTGATATTTGTGTTTTTGTTATTGAATATTTTCTAAAAAAAAAATGATGGAGACCCAGTTTGGTCAGGAAGTTATTTATTCCAAGTTTTTCTGCGAGCGAGTGCACATGTATCCAAAATGTGCATATACGTGTGGTAAAGAAGTCATTTGTGAATATCATAGCATTTTCAAATATATTCAAAGTAGTCTCATCAATGTTATGTCAAAATGAGGTTATATTTGTAGCTGACATTTCTACATAATAGGGATGTGAGTTTAGAGAATGTTATGTAATTTTTATGTCAGTTTGTTATATTTGTTTATATTTACTTCTTGAATTCAAATAAAAATTGTATTTATTATTATTAGTTATGAATTTATTGACCATTCCTTCAGTATACATTCTTGAAATGAAGTATTATAATTTTTTTCATGATAACTTCCAAATATTGTTCATAGGAAAACCATTTTACGAAGAAGTCGAGTGGCTTGAAGTAGATCCCATTCCATGGTCCAGGAAAGTAGGACAATCAGCTGTTGGAAAAACTCGTGGTACAGTGGACAATTTGTGGCATAATTGGGATGAAGAATATCCGAAGGATCTATTCTCCTTGATGGGAAATATTCATCAATATTCGGAAAGGTATATTCCTCATCTAATTATAAAAATGTATGTTTGTTGGTTGGTTGGTAAGTGATAAACTTCTACATCGCTAAACCGATCGTGATGAAACTTGACATGTATAAGTAATTTTTCATAGAGAAGGTTTTTAGGTTATCAATTTTTCTGTAACTCGACACTAGATGGCGCTGTAGAATAATTTTTTGAAATCACTGTTCTATGACGCTGCGCACGCCTAAGTTCGTTGATTTTGATTCTGTCTAAAAATTGGCACATCAACGATACAGCAACATATATATAATAGATGTTCAGGTCTGTGAAGATAATCATTGATAAACATTTCTCCCAATTTCAATTCACCATCAGTTTTATATATAGGTTTGTTAAAATTAAAGAATGAGGCACGGTCATTCATCAATCCATCAGAATCACCAAACTATATTTCCATCAAACGGTATTGTTTTCATCAAATTTGATTTATATTATGTCTGCACTACTTTCCTCCACAACTTGTTCGGTGTGGAATATTGTCGAAAAGCTCCTTCAACATAAATGCAAGAACATAGTTTTGTTTTGTAACGATCAGAAATAAATTGAAAAATATTGTATCTGTATCCATTTACCATTTAGATTTTCGAGAGAAACCAGAGGGAAACAAACTCTTGCGAATTTAGTGACTGCTATTGGTATGATGGAAATCTATGATTTGGCAGAATGGAATTCAGCTGTGGTGGATTCGGTTTTGGTGAATGGAGACAACTATTTTGTTGAGTGCATTCAGGATATCTCCGATGAAGATTATGAAATTTCAATGGACGATTTGAAACCCGATTGTTCCATATTTCCATTCGCTTTCAACGTTACCTTCACTCCAGTTGTGGAAGGAACTATGTTTTTGGTTAGAGTTACGCAATTCAACTTGTTTAAAGCTCTAAGGTGAGTCATATTTTGATAAATGAATAAGTGTTTCTTCGATTGACATTAAACGTCAATTTTGGTGACATTTATCGATCATAAAAGTAACACGTTGAAAAATCATTTTTTCTACTTGTTCTGCATATCCAATCAAATCTTGTACTATGAAACATGGCAAAATATAATTAAAACCTTCTTTGCAGATTTTTTTTCAGTAATGTCGTCAGGAGATGTGGAATAATAAGTTGCACAAAATCGGAAAGGAAACGTCACGTGGCTTTCGGAAAACTACAAGAATCTGAGTACTTTATGTTCGATAGTGACTGTCAAGGTAGTCCAATGTTCCTTGGAGGTTACGGTGTTGCGTATATTCTCAGGATGACGACGTTGAATAGGTTACTACATGTTCTCACTTTGACTTTGAGAGGTGGAGATTTTTTCATTTATGAGGTAGAAATTACTAACCTAAAACCCATAAGTTGAATATCATACCAATAAAAGTGTATGTTTGTTGATGCATTTTTCATTTAGTGTTATCATAAAAGTTGTAACAACCATCTGTGAAGCCATCTTTGATCTTAGTAGGAGATTAAAGCCGGTACCTGGCCTCCCCCACCTCTATGACGTTATTAATGGAATTTTAATGACTGACGATATCAGCAAGATTACCTTGAAAAATATGTCTGATGCATAGGTGTGAATAACGTCATAGAGACATCCTTTCTCAACCACTTTCTATCTTGACTAATGTCACACGGCCTTGAGCATACCTCCTTGAACATGAGGGGGTCGACCTTGAGATCCGATCCTGTCTCCAACAAGTAACCTTGAGGTTTGACCTTGAGCTATGTGCATGCAATATGACCTTGAATGTAGAGTTTGACGTTACCTGTAACAACTTTTTCTCGAAATAGAACAACACTGTTGTTAGGCACACGAAAAGAGATATTAAACGGTATTTAGCGTTATTTGAAAAAAAAAGCTCACGAGTATGAAATCTTAAAATCTAGTAAGCCATATTGGTCGACAAATTTGCATGAAAATTCTATACGAATGAGTCGCTATACTAGTGTAGCATCCACCAGTATATAGACATATTGCTTAAAACATAGGCTCCTGTGACGGTCATTTGCTGTTGTCAAATTATTTACGAAATTTGCAAGGATTTACGCCTGTAGAATTTGTACCGCGAAAAACTGTCTGTCTCGCCTGCTTTCTAACCTCGGCTATCATTGCAGGCTCTACTATAATAGATGTTCTTGGTACATAAATAACTATTCAATATAAAATTTCAGTTGTGGATAATTCCAGTTGGCCATACAAAATTCGTGAATCATAATGATCACAGCTAATTATTTTATATCTCCAGGTCCTTCTTGGGATGCTATGTTGAAGTATAAATGTTCTTCATTCCTATCACATTGTGCACCAACGTATAAATGGAAAATTCAGATATCTAATTTTATGGAACTAGGCGAGAAGTATTGATCTGCCCGGTTCAACAAAAAATTGAGGTGGGTTGTGAAATTGAATAATTCACTTGATATTCAACATTTTATTAGATAAAACACTATTTGTATTTGCATATTCTTTCGTATAAAAAAATTAAGTACATCTTTGTGTTTACTTAAAACTAAAATGGACGAATTCAAAATCTTAAATACAATGATTGCAGAACTCCTTATATTTATACATACTGACTACTTCCTCTTATGATTTCAACTTATATATTGCACAGTTATTTATGTGAAGAGAGAAGAATTATGGTTTTCTACTATCTAGCAGTGTAGAATTGGGAGACTATGTCATCAGTAACACTACATTTACAACTCAAAAAAATTATGTGAATCACCAACAGTAAAACCTAGGAAAGAAATTGAATAATAGTAAGCTGAAGAAGTATGTTCATATTTTTAAATTGGAATTTTCCAATTGTCGGTTGTCAAGGTTTCTAAAGAATTCATTCTTTGTTGAGTAATATGCATCATGCTTTGTACTTGAAAATCGAGATTCACACTTCATCATATATTCAAAATAAATTGATTCAATGAATTCAGTTACACACTATACAGCAGAAAATTGATTATACGAAATTATTGAATATGGAATTTTGTTATTATTGGTTCGAAATTTAGATAACAAAAGCAACAATGAACAAATCTCGAAAACCTCCTGGGTATATTTGGATTTTTATCTGCTTTATTTGTAATTTCATTTCTTCGGCGTTTCTCCAGTCTGATCTCCATTATCTCCATTTTGGGTGTATATGATTTCTGCATATTCAGTTTTCTCATCGTCATTTCTGACAACTGGTTTCAATTCTGCTCTTACCAAATCAAGTTCAGCATAAACTAGTCCTCGCTGTTCTTCTTCCGGTTGTGAAGGTTTTTCCCTTTGATCCACTGGAGAATCATCATGTTGTTCCTCTTCAGTAACCTTATCTTTGTTTTTCTTGAAGATTGAGGTGAGTTTTATAGGATTCTTACGTTCTTTTGGTCGAACATCTGCGCTCTCTGTATCGCTCCTGTAAAAATATATTTGTTCATGAAGATAAATTTGAAACCAGAAAGCTCTACGTATGTTTCTCAATAAAATACATATATCATATAATATTTTTGAATAAACAGGATTTACTAGTAAGGTTGCAGACTCCGTAGACCTGAGCAAACAATTTTCAATATTTGAAACGAATATGAAAAGCAATAGGCCATAGTAAAAGGTTGGCATCAAAGGGAAGGTAAGTAATATGAATAAAATAGATAACATTTTTCCAAAAATAGGATATAAAAAAATCATCACAGAAATTCTGAGAGTTTCCTAGAATATTTTTCAACTGAAATAGACAATTAGAAGTAGTACCTCTGGATACTGCGATCGACATGAAATTGAATGAACTACTTTCGAGACTAAAACTTTGAAAGAAAAAGAAAGGAAACGATACGCGCCACGACTGCAAGATTGAACTGTTATGTTATTATGTCACTTGAAATTATTTTAAATCAATTAGAGATACACATCTAATCACATGATTATTACAAAGATGATATTTTATTCAATTTCAGGTGGGAATATAAATTAAAGTTTCACATCGAGAAAATTAGCTGAATTCATCCTTTACTTTTGGGGAACACTGTATGATTTGAATACATATCACTCTAACATCATACAAGAAGACTACTTTGAGTGGATTTTAAATATATTCATATAAATTTTTTATAAATGCATCTTTCTTGGGAACTAACGAACAAAAACTAATAATTCCAAATTAAAAACTACTTTCCTAGCACGTTTTGTTTATTTACACATTGAACTGCATAAAATATATATTTCATTAGGGAATTTGATGAGGTTTTTAAAACTAACTTTTAAAAATATACAGATATGAAAAGTATGGATAAATGTAAGCGGTAACGTATTGTTGCTACTTATGGTTATAATGATAACCATAAGTAGCAACTTAAAGTGTCGTAAGCTCTGCATACAGTTGATTCGATAGGATGAAAACCGTGCCACCTGTATGCAAAGTACGGAAGCACCTTCAAAAATGAATAATATAGTCAGAATAATAGATATATTTCGGAGAGGTGCGTACGAAATGCCCAAGTTTTGGTAAAATACCAAACCCTTGCGTGTGACTCATACTCGACGGAAAAACGAAAGCCAATGTCATATATAAATTTTGAAGTTAAACCATCAGACAACATTTCAAATATAGAAAGTTACTTGTGACGAATCATCCAAATGGAAAATATTGCACAGGTGTCTGATGGTTTTACTTCAACTTGTTGTACGGTGCTAGCTGTAGCATAATTAGAATGATTTCACATATTTCAACAATTTCATTAACAAAAGGTTTAATGAAAAAAAAATATAGCCCAGCTACAACTCAAATCTTATCAAATGTGATCAATTTTGAAAGTTGAAAAAAATGTACATGAATTTGGTAGCGCCAACAATAAAATATAAAACCCAGTCACTACATTTCTTTTAATTACTGATTGGCTTCTGATTACACACCAAGAGAGCTGAAATGAGCGCTGGGCATTAAAATTTGAGTTCATCCTAAAAGTCGGAAAATTGAACGACGTGCAAAAATCTCATTGAAAATATGAAAGGTTTCTACTTCAACATATTCAGTTATTTGACGAAGTGGTGGTATATGAAAGGGTCGTAATAATAAACATAATTCCATTTAGTGATTTTAAATTTATATTTTGGAGACTCTAGAGATCTAACATCATTGATTCACGATCTCCAGCGTATCAAACAACTTCCAAACGAAACACCTTTAATATTCTTCAATCGCCTTCAAGTCCACAATGCCAAAATGCACGCATGTGTACAAAAATCCGTCCTTTCTGCGGAACAGAAACACGCGCAATTCGCACTCATTGAAACAATGGCATTAAATACGCTTTTAACCGGACTAGAACCGCGAATAGGTCAAGTTATCCGTGCCTCCAATCCGGCAGATCTACTTGAAGCCCACGTTGGAATTAGGAGAGAAATGCAACTATCCTATTTCTAACATAAAACATATGAAAGACCAAACCAAACACATTTCAGATGAAACCCCTAACCAACATCCCAAAGAACCTGTTACACTTGTGGTCAGATAGGTCATATTTCCACGGAATGTCGAATAAGACAACAAAGACCCCAAAATAATTATCAATATTCCAATCAAAAGTTTGCGAGACCAAACCCTCAACTCAATCAAAATTTTTCGAGTCAAACAAACCCTCAACCCAATCAGAAATTTTCAAGACCAAACTCAAACAAATTCTCAGCCAAACAGGTCCCAGACTAATCGAAATCAACTTCGACTTCAATCTCAAAACCAATTCAGACCACCCGTAATTCAAAGAAATCCGAATTACCCTGTCACTTTCAATCAAAACCAAAGAGCTCATTTCATGACATACGAATCTCAAGATTATCATACAGGTTATAATCAAGACTATCATCATACAGCTGATAGCTATAACTATCAATGCAACGATTATTACCCCACCGATAATGACTATGATTACTATACCGCTAGTGATCAAGATTACCAATAAAACCAAATTCAAACACCTGAAGATCCTTCAATGTACCAGGATTTTCTTTCACTCCCGAATACGAACCACCCACCTATTCAACCCCAAACAACCAACAACCCATCGATCGACCCTATATCAGAAGTCCAATCTCAAATTCAGTTCCTGAATATACAAGACTTCAACCCGAACTTGAATTTCCCGGAACAAATTTTCATGCAAGCCGTATGCTTTCTATGAATTCGAAGAATCTGTACTACATCAAAGACTCTTCCAATACTTTTAAAATGCTCATCATCACAGGTGCAGGAATATCCATTTTTAAACCAAAAATATGCGAAAAATACCCCCTTAGATTCCCTGAAAACGTCACTATACAAGATATCACTGACCAGAAAATTATCGTGAATGAATCCGCTTTAATAAATTCCACACAAAGTCTCTATCTACGACTTAGACATCGACTTTGACGG